TCCGTCAATTCTTACACGCTGTTGCAACCTGAATTTGTGTGACTTTGACGAGGCGACAAGCAGTGGTTGCAAACGTCGTTAAATGAGCTGGAAGGCGCTGAATATTGTCTTGTTTTGATGGGAAACCAGTAGAGGTAGGGAGGTAAGTAGCTTTTATTAATGGAAATGTCGTACTATGGCAACCACCACCGGCAAATGCCGACCCCGTTGGAACACACATAGGCCTGCTAGAAATCTTCATCTCTCCTTCTGCCAGCAAAGCGCTAGTACACTATTTCGTACTCAGTCACACAGTCAAACTTTCCACAATTTGAAGGTGCCGTCGACCTCAACCCCGTCTGTCTATGAATGCCCTTACCATTGAATTTCCCCAAAAAAAATATAAAGAGCAACCACGCCTCCACAACATGCCCGCCAAGGTGCAGGGTGTGTGTGTGTTTCGACTTGACCACCTTTCCAGCAAATGGAACCATTCAAGCATTCAAGTATACAATGCACGTGATGACCATGAGGAGGATCTCATGACCTCACCATCTATGTACGATTATTCCCTCATTGATTATGCCGCTCAGTGTGCATTCACATGCAAAGCAAAAATAGCACACGCCAAGACAAATTGTTGAATGAACCCCCCTAAACTAGAGGAATTATGACATTAGAACTCTCCGTAAATTCAATCCAAGCATTGTTTCAATATTCATGACTTGATTTTGGATGGCAAGTTTGGATAGGAATTTTAAGACATGGAGAATTCCGTTGCAAAATATTGCCTCCCCCCATTCTATTTTATTTTAGTCCAACCAAGCTGACGACTGCAAGCGTTTACTTGGCTACAGTTAGTTGAGAGTTTAATCACAGTAGGCGATGCCAATGAGTGCCACATTATCATCACCTCCAGTGAGGCAAATGCCCCACACACTCCCCCTCTTTCAACAGCAGCATCAGCAAATTCCCAATAGGTACACCACCAGTATCATGGGCATATTTGTCATTCTCCTCTCAGCGTATGTACATTGAATGTTGGGAAACAGGCGGCAACGCCATCTTCATGTTGAATGTCCACTTCACTCCATGCAAAATAACAATGGTTGTTGAATAAGTGGAGGAGGGGTATAAGCAGTCGTTGGGACTGCGTGGCACTGCAAATGCAGTGCATCATATTTGCCACACAAGTAGCAGATGCTGCGTGTGTTGTGTTTCCACTCGGCCAATTATTGCCATCGCCTGATTTCACTGAACCCTTAACAAAATGCGTTCAACCAAGTCCTCTCAAACAAAAGTTAGATGCAAAAATGCGCAATGAAGTAGGTGGGTAGGTAAACCAACCTGCAAAGTTGATCACGCCTGCGAGATTATCCTCCTCAACCGTACTCGTGTGTACTGGTGTGGAGTGGAACCCATCTCAAAAGCATGCAATAATGGTTTTGACTATATTTGGCTGCTAACCGACATTCACTGTGACGCACTAGGAGGCAGAATTATGCAAGCTACGTCATCATTCAAAAGGCAATCCATTTCATCGGATATACTCCCTGCCATCATATCCTGCTTAGTGCATCCCCAATGGCTTTATCTGACAAGTTAGAGAGATATGTGCAACCGTATGCAGAGAGGCTGTCCACTCAGGCATTTCGTCCATAATTTTTAATACACAGCTAAGGGAATCAGCCCACGTGCTTTAACCACTTAAGTGGACCACACCGAAGGCAGTGAGCATTCCACTATTCCATTACATCCAGACCATGCTTTTATCCTTATGTCTGAACATGATGAAATTCGCCTTTGCACCCTACTGCCAACTGAAGCATAAGAAATGAGCAGATGCCTTCTCACCCAACAAAGGATACATTCACCCTCACTGAAATTCCCAACATCTTCGGCAAATACATTGCGGTGGTGGAGAGATTCGTGCCAGAACACAGAGATGTCATGTGCAGCCAAGGAGGTCGGGCTTAACTTTCCACACCAAAACGTGGCAGTCAGGTCCTGGCATTGTTGCTAATTACATCTAATTTTTCATGAATGAGAGGGTAGAAACTGTCGCATATATGCCGGTCTGGAGTTGATAATGCATGCCAATAGTGGAATTTTGCAATGCTAGTTGTAAAGAAAGAGGCTGATTTGAGTAGCGAAATACAAATGGATGTTGGTGCTTCCGGGCTTGAATAAAAGATTTGAAATGTGTGAGTGCTGTGGGTGTCCTACTGATATGAACTGCAATATTGGGAAGGCAGTAAACAGCCTATTCCCTCCTGCAACAGTTCTGAGGGTAAGACAATGCGAGGTAATTTGCACTGCAACATAGCAGTACATTGCTGTGCATTACAGAATGACAGGGTGATTCGACAAGGAAGGTGAAAGCAAACGCACACATTCATAATTCAAAGCTAGTTCTGTAAGAGATAGTTCAGGCTTCGAGTTCAGCACTGTGGACATATCAACGTGCAATGTCTGCAATTCCCCCTTACCCACTCTCACTGCTCTTCAGCTTTGTGCAACTTTATACAAATATTGCATCATAGCATTGACAAATTAGAGGTGCAGCATAAGGAGTGCCCTAAACACGATTTTCCATTCCTTCTCCTCCATAATCAATCCTCGCTTCCATGGCTCAGGCCGTTGTGACACGAAAGTCACCCAGCGGTTTCATGGCTTCAATATAACCTGTATGTGCGCCCTGATGATAGCATGCGTGGGAGTTGCATGCTGACCCACCCACATGAAACAACACGTCGTACCATTCAATGTATGGATAGAGAAGTTGCATTCTAGGTCAAATACTCATAGCTCATAGGCTAATATGCTTGGCACACATTCCCATAAATACGTCCTCAGATGTAAATGCAACACATTTCCACGTTGGCGATGTCCTTTCAATTGCACCTTATTGTGGTGGTGATTTCGCTTTTGGCTGAAAGCTACAGAGGAGTGGGCCGTAAGTTGCATTCCATTATTTCACATACATCAGCACTCGCACATTTGTTACATCGGTTGACTGCCTCCGTTGTGCTGATGAGCTGTCTCAATCATAAATTATGAATAGTGTCATTCCATTTCATTGCATCTCCTCACTTTGAAACCCTCATTTTCACCTTATCGTAGAAAGTTGCATGCATTCACACTGGTGTGTAGTGGTACTGGCCAAAGAATGACTGACATGTTACACGCATTAAGTGCAGTGAATGGGCATCACTTGAAGAAATAAACGACTCTCCCTTTGATTGACACGTGCACATGGATGCACTATTTCCACTAATGCTCTATTTTAATCAACTCCTTGGTGCATTGTGAATATATAGGCAATGGATGTAGGGATAGACTGCAAATGCCAATCACTGGGCGAATGAGATGTGAGGTTAAATTATGCAGGCTGCTGGGACAAAGCATGTAGAACCTGCATCTACGCATGTCAGGCATACTTCGTCACATGTGCACATGGTTGCAGTGCACATTTTCACTCCGGATAATAATAACTACTAATACTTGTTCCCAGTGGAGCAGACAGGTTTACTGTTGCATCCTGGAGGCGAAAGTGGAGAAGACCTGTTGTTCATTACCTCCACAATTACTGCTGTCTGCGTGGTAGCTGCAATTGTTCCTAAGTTTTTTCCCTAACTGATATGGAATGTCCTCTCCGTTTTTACTCAACATCACGTTTCATCCTGTTGTATTGCAGAGGCAGTGAATGCAAAGTACAAACTGCCAGAACATTTCCAGTGGAGTAAATTGGGGCCAACCACCATTGAATTACGTTGGGATGCCGACAGATTGGCTTCACGAGGCTGGAGCGATCTGATTATGGTAGCATTTTTACCTTCTACTCGCACACCCAATTATACACATGTACCTTTTTCGACCGGCAAAGCCGCTATAGACGGATTGTTGCCCAAAACGTTGTACAATGTGTCTGTGGAGACATATGGAGCAAGGAGCGGTGAATTAATTTGGCTCGGACCAGTTGAAACATCGCCCATTGGTAAGCTAGCACGTGTGACTATGATGTGCATCTCCATGTCGGTAAATGTCATGGTTATTCACATAGGGAAGGGACAAAGCGCTGCCACAAGTAGCGCATCTGTCTCAACCTCCACAGTCTCTGGGCTGGTGTCTGCTTGCATTGCAGCAGTCATTGCTTCAGCTTTCGCGTAAGTCAGTGCAAATTAGCAACAGCTTCAGCTGCATCCATAATCACAGCCCAAAATTGGCCTCCATCGAGTCTACTCTTCTCCATTTCAGGCTTCCATGATGCAGACCATGCACCAGTGCCATTCACTTTGGTTCCATTACCGCCAGCGTAGCTATTCCAGTTAGATAACAACTCCTAAATGGCAAATAGAGGACTTTGTTATGTTTGCTTTATTCCTGCCATGCTTGCTTCATTTACAGTGTCTTGGGAAATGGTTAAAGCAGTAGGGTGATATGGGGTACAACTTTTTACCTCAAATCGTCTGTTTTTCAATAGTGTCCAAATTTCACGCAAGAAGACGTTCCACACGAAAGCGCAAGTTTAGCTATGCCGTGTTTAAAATGGTAAAGACTTAGCCACATAGACTATCCTTTCCGCTACCATCATCTATTGCACTTACAACAGAGCCTGATCTTGTGTTTAACTTTAGTTTTGTCATTCAGCATTCAGGACCGTCCATTCTACTCGGATCGTTCATGCAGTATAGGATGTGGGAGTGTGCTAAAGTGCGTTTTGATGGAAGGTGCCTTTTAGCTTAATCAGTACAAATGTCTGAGGATGTCAGTTTACCTCGCATTTGACTTTAGTCTTCCAATTTTTGGAAGACAACAACTCCACCATCTAATTTCCTAGGCTATGCTTGGACAAATTAAACACCTCTTTGCCTCCACATCACACATGTGTCTATCCGGTTAGTAATTCAACTCTAAATTAAAAGGAATTCAATTAAGTTATGTTGCTCTTGTGTACGGGAATCGAATAACTCGAGAAGAGAACAGAGAAGCTGCAATAAATTGGATGACATTTAAAGTAATGACACAAGAGATGAGGTATACATCTAAATGAGCAATTTGAAAGAAGGCGCTTCTTCATACCATTCACTGACAATTTTCGCAATGCGACTACATAGAAGATTTCACAAAATGGGCTTAACAATGTCACCACAGATGCAAAATGATGATTTCTACAATCGTTTCCACTTGGTTTTACAGGATCATTCGCCTGTAGAGCCAGTAAACTGTAAAACAGGCATCCTTTCCTCAGACACTAAGTCTTTCGAAAAAATCCTTTCTCAGAATAGTGAAGGCTACTGAGGTAAGTGAAGTGAGTGTTGTGCATTTCGACTTCTGTCTCTAAGTAGACCATACTAGATACTCCCACTTATTATTTATAAGTAGCAGGGCATAATGCACGAAAGAACGTGCTATGCTCATTTCAATCAACATTTTATGGCACATCCACTCTTTGCCTTATCATTTGGAATTCTAGGTGAGTATTTTTGCCCAGCCTAAATAGTGACTCCATAAAACCGGTCAAAGCATGCAAAATATTGGGAACGAGACAAAATTACAAAACCATACTTACCATTGTTAATCCGCCACTGCAACTGATGAGACCAGTGGAAAATGCACCATTATTCTGGAGTCCACTGGTGAAATACACTTACACTCTCAAGATTGAGACACCATAACATCTTCGGAAATAATGTGGCGGTGTGGTGTCCTGTTCGATTGTGCATGCAATTACGTGGGCCCTCGGTCACCAGAGACTGTACCTCCGCCCAGTATTACATACCTCGGGGTTGCTTGTATGCGCTTAGCTCTTCTGTACTCCAGTAATATAGCGCTCTTAATCAACAATTTGATGGTCATGAAAGGTTGCAAAATCAGGACAAATTCGAAATAGGTGCTGCCAAATTGAAGTATGGAAAGGATACGAATCTCCAAGTACTGTGAACAGTTGCTTTTGGATGTGGAAGTAGTCATAGAATAAGGACTGTTGTTGTTGTTGTTGTTGTTATGGTTGTTTTTAGTTTTCGATAACCATATGTAACTGAATGAACCATTCGATAGGTGCAATATTTGTATTTAAACCTTCTATTATACATGATCTTCAAAAAGCATGGAATTTTGCCACGTTTTAGAATGACTTTACTTATTACGTTTTTGCTTAGTGCAGACGAAGTTTCACCTGCGTACACACTGTGGAAGTTGAGTTACCTTTCCTTGGTTCTTTCCATCTCTACCTTCAGTTTCAAAAGCCTGGATTGAAAGGATTGGTAAAGAGGCGTGTTATCTCCTCTGGTTATGTAGGAAATTGCGATCTTACAATGTTTTATGAAAGAGTCGGCGTTGGTCTCCTTTGTGAAGGGTAACGGCGCCTTCACCTTAGCCACAAATCCATCCAAGACTCGGGAGGCTAATATTAACGCCAAAATGAAAGGCGATGCAATTTTATCTTTCTTGAAAGTATTCTGCGTGTATGTAACCACAATTTTCTGCCTCATTTGCGTGCTCTCATTTCAATGCGGACGTGCCTATTTTTAAGTGTTACACTAATTTCTGATTGTTAGATACGGCCTTGATATGACAGCATGCCAGCCACTTTTTATTTGGCATGCAAATGGAAGCTGCCCTGTATAAAGTTTTTTTCTTTGAAACAAAGCAAACTTATGCATAATATGAAACCCCCTCAGAGACCATGTCGATGCTGTTTATGTAACAGTAGATTGGGGAATCGCCTTCTCTTCAAGAATAAATATACTTAGCTTCTGAGCCCGATTCTCTTTGACGGCACTCAACAAGCACCACTTGTTATTTTCGGAGTTCCGGTTTTTTGCTGCTAAAGCAGTCAATGATGATCTATGGGCTTTCTAGCAAAGTGATTTGCAGGCTCATTTACGCGGTCACTCTGGTCCCAACGGGTTCTACCCCTACTCTGAGGCATGGCCTTCTGAGTTAATGCTAGTACACCCTTCTCTGCTCTGCTCTACTCTTTGTACATTCTTGCTCATAATACCTCACTCTGTTATGACTACAGGGAGGACTCAGGATGCTACGTTAATGGTAGTGACAGGCAAACTCTATCCAAAGGGTGACTGACCTAATTTCTATGGCTTAAGAAAGGCATCTGCCTCTGATGTGTGAATCAGAAAACATTCCTCACGGTAGGGTTACACATGAATTCTATCCTTGGCAATCACCCAAATCGGTGCTCTGCAAGAATACGATTGGCAGCTGGACTGACACCAGACTCGAACGATTTCAAATGACCCATTACGAAGTTGTGCAATAATGCTAATTCGAGAAGAAGCGATGCTACCATCACACTACATCTAGCTAAATGGAGGCGAGGCAAATTACTTCCACAGAGCCATTTTAGATATGGGATAGACTCTAATTTGCTGGATTGATGCAGGATTTAGGGTATTCCAAACCTTTGCCCTCACCAGATTTACAGATACCAGTAAAAGTCCACTTAGTACACCTTGCACGCATACACAGGAAAAAGATTCTCTTCCATCTTCTACTTCAGCCTAAACGTCATAGACCTCCTCTATGGGCATAATGAATGGCAAATTATAATCGCATCTCTGTCATCCCTCGGTCTGACATTGAATCCAGTAGTTACAGCCCTTAATCTTAGCGAAGGAGTGAATTTCTCTACATTTTAATTAGTTCCACATCTACAGATCTACCCTTTTAAATCCTAAGCCTTTCGTAATGCTTAAAAGTAATTTTTGCACAAATAAACGACAAAGTGGACACAGCTTTAAAAATTTTGCCTTAAACATATGCACACTGAATCCTGTGAGTTTGCTTTTTGACATATAAAAAACATAGTTTTAATCCGTCCTCATTAAAGTCTACAATATTAATAATGGTTTTTTACATAAGTATAAGTAATCAATTCCACCTCCAAGGGAGCACAAGCAACAGGGAGACGGGGTTGACGAAGGAACCTCGAGTGAAGAGGAAGCCATCCCTCCGGTAGATGTACTGGTGGAAGCACGGCCTGGAGCATTGTTCAATGCCTAAATTGCAGAAGAAGTGTCTACACATAGACACGGATGCGATAAGGATCCGATAGCGTACAATCCGAGGTGGTAAACTTACTGCATTTAGCATTGTCATGCCCATCAACATGGAGGGCATTAACGTTGCTACATTTGAGATGCAACAGAATGATGAGATCACAATTGCAGTCTTATCATTCAATCAGAACTGTGCCGGTTATATTACAATAGACTGCACTACTACTGGGGCTGCAAAAGCAGTGGCGATAAAAGGGTTCCTCAGTAATCCAGAATTGATCCGTAGTCGCAGGTCATTCAGTGGATCAACACGTGTGCATTGCCCACTCAATAATATTCCATGGCCTCTGGGAGAAGGATTGTTTTGACCAGAATTGGATAAAGAAGGAGAGGCCACCGGTAACCTCGCAGCATTGGCCAATGCACCAGGTTATGCATCCTTCTCGGTTCTTTCTTGAGGTAGGTCAACTGCTTTGGTCAAGCCACTTCCTCAATATGCATGTCAGCTGAGAGATGTTTGAAAGATCAGAATTATGAACGGATAAGAGATATACCGCCATTTTCCTCTTCCTCTCTTTTACATGCGGTGTGAGGACGCACAGACTAACTGACGTTTGTCCAGCATTACTAGGATAATGGGAGTGTCATTAGTTATGCTCAAGCGATAAACTCATTGTCCATCTAAAATTACCAAGTCACCGGCTGCTTGATTCGCAGGGAGCCACACTCGCTTTGTGTGTGGTAGTCTGCAGACGCAACTATTTTCCAGCCTAAGATCCATTCGCTCGTCACGACACAGCTAAGAGGTGTGTGTAAAACTTTTGTACGATTCATTGTGATGAAGTCAAGTCCTATTCTTCTTCTTCCTGCAATGCAACACCAGACCTCATACAGTCACAAAACTTACTTATGGGAAGACCACGTGCCCCACTAAATGATGGGAGGACAAAAGGACTCATCCTCACCCTCCGGGTTCCAATCACATAACTCCAGGCTGCTATGGGATATTACTAAAGGAGTGAGACAGAAATGGAGGTTTCACTTTAGAGCTTCTCCTTTAAAGGTCTGTAAAATTTGTGTTCGCCTTCTGCTAAGCATCGGTTGCAAGGTTTCTTCATCCGATTCCGACGTGACCACGGCATCATTTTTAGCCTTTAGTCTCACTTGTATCAGCATTTGTGGTTAATGAGGCGCTTAAACAAGTTTGGCATTTGTTGGCTTAATTAGAGTTTATGCTGGTCAAAAATGGTTAGGATTTCTCGATGTGATAGCTTGTCGTTTATTCTTTTGATCTCAACCCCCTTAAAATAATGGTGGTGTGACCTGAATGCGCACTGCAGACTTTGCCACTGTCGTCCCATTCACCGTCAATCTTTACATCCGTGAGGTTTCGTCTTCAAGCTTTCCATTAAACAGGCATTGTTACTTTGATTCTAAGACCCAGTCCCATCCAGTACACTTATATTTCCATTATTGTTTCATTTGGAAAGTTTGATTTGTTCGGACCAATTTTGCTATCGCAATATCACTGCCTTACATTATGCTGTTCAACAAGTTAGAGGCTCACGGTAAATTCAATATACAGATTCGATTGTGTGTCTTTATCAATCTAAGGTTTTGCATATTATTTCTTTACTTCATATATATATATACTTTGTTTTGTAAGTGGACCAATAGACCAAGCACTTTTCTTTATGTAAAACCTTCCAGTACCATAAACGAGTGTACCAAAGTAATGGACTCGGCATTTGGCAGTTATCGTCTTTTCTCCACTTTTCAACGAACTGTATGCAATGCCATGAATCGGTAGATGTGATGCTGCACCACGGCTTGAAGGGGTACGTCTTTGGAGGGGTGTCCAAATCGGTACTCGCTTAAGGCCTGTGTTCCTACTTTCCTTCCTGCTTGCCCCACCAACTAAACTGCTCTCTTTCTAAAGCAGCAGCATGGTATTGGCATCTCGCTCCTAGTCACCTCTACCCTTTGTCCCTTTACTACATTCAACAAGCTCTCGCCTTGTTTCCTCCTTCCAAAACTTGACCGCTTTAGTTACCCTAGTAAGTGCAACAAATATGCAAATTTGTTTTTAATTCAAATATACTACGTTAATGAGCTCGGGTGCAGAGATGTCACTTTTACAATTCCTAATGACAAAATTAAATGGAACAAAAATAGGCGATGTATTTGCAGAAAAATTAGATTAGAGTACAAAATAGTGGTTTGTCGGCACTCACATCAAGTGTTGCCTTTCCATTCGAAGACATAGACCACCCAGTGCAAGTACAATCTGCAAAGGTTTGAATGCATGCTCAATCAAACACAAAGTCAAAAAGCCTATCAAAGCACTGCATAGACTCCATCTATTTCCTTTGAGTCTCGACACTTGACCTCTCCCTCTTCAATCTCCCACATCAGTAATCGCAAAACAGTCGGCGCCTTAAAATGAAAAGCACCCGCGAACAAGTGAAAGGATACTTGATTTCATTTGCAATGGAGAGAAGTGGGTACCTTAAGTGAATTGTTATTTTTTGTGGGGACAGTATTTGGCAGACCTTTAACAACAGCATAGGCCGGAGTGCAGCCTCACAGAATCGACGAACAAACACATCGACATGATGAATTTCTCATGAGATTTTCTGTTGACACCTTTCTTTAAATTAGTACCCAAACAATTTAAAATATAACACAATTACAATTTTGCCATTTCGATTCAATTCTTAGTTCTACAGGCAGACTATTTCGAAATTGCCAAATTCCTTACCTCCATTCCTGTTTTCTGCTCCCTTAGACATCAACAGAATGCAAAGTCACTGGGCTAAACGTATTACTAACAGCAACATATTTGGTCCCTTAATGAAAGGCTGACACTCAGATCTGCAATAGGAAAAGCGCGTCAGTGACGACAAAGGTGGTTGTTTTGATGGCAGAATCTGTGACGAGGCACGGCAAAGATGGGCAAAACCAGTGTATTGTAGGAAACAGTAGACGAGGAAGTAGGTTTCCATTCCGAGTTTCGCAGTACGCAAAACAATTAATTAACATTTAGCTGTGGAACTCTTAAAATCCCTCTTCTACTTCTCCATTGGGGAATATCGTCTGTCAGCGACAAGGAAGTCAAGAAAGTGCTAAACCACTTTGATGTATTTGACACACGGTAGAGTGGAGATGAAATGCTCCTACGATAGATGTTGTGCGAATGTAGCAAGGCAAGAAATCTAGTGAAGGTAACGTAAGTGCAGAGAATGATGCAGATGCCGAATGCTTGAAAGAAAGAGAGGGGAAGTGAGCAGGCTAAAGGGGCTACGGACGATTTTGACGGATCTGAAAATGCCATTGGCATCGTTATCGTGGTTTGGATAGCAAGATAGACTGAACTTACTATGCACTGAAGTGATGTGACTTCGCACCATGATAAGGCACAGGGAGAAGGATCAAAGCTCTTGACTCACACATAACTGACAGCCTGCAGTCGTCAATCACGGGCCTGCTCATATTTACAACAACTACAAAGGTATAATATGGCATAAATCCTACAAGACAAACAATAAATGAAAGGAAAATATCTGGATTGAATTAAAGATGGGCTGTGTAAGGCGGACGATAAGGTACCATGTAGGAGGCCTTCGGGAAGTGTCGCCTTGACATGGACTGGATGATGATGATGATGATGATGATGATGATGAGGAGGAGGAGGAGGAGGAGGAGGAGGAGGAGGAAGAGGAGGAGGCAACCTGGGCCCTTCTCGTAACCTTGGGTGTATTTTCGGTTATTGCAACCTCCTTTGATACTACTCGAGAAAGGACTTCTTCACCATTCGAGTCTACTTCGTCCTCATCGTCGGCGTCATAGTCGACTTCTCCATGCGTCTCCTGCGATGACATTGATTCCTCACACTCATCTAAATATACCATTTCATCATTCCGATCATCCTTCCTACTTCCATGCATGACTGAAATGCAAGTCGAATGTGAGGGTCCAGGCTAAAACTCTGATTTCCACTACTGGGAAAGAGAACTCAACAGTGTTCACATCACCCAATCTTAAGGTGAAATTTTAACGACAAACCAATTTTTAGTGTAAAGCACTTCAGATGCTATGAAATAAGGAGCCCTGCCATTTAAAATGGTTGATCCGCGTTGATATTACTGCTTGAAAGAAAGAGGAAAACCTAATTTACATCAAGAATCAAGCCTGTAAATGCCTGATATGATAAGACTTGTGACATTTAAGAAAGCCGAAGGAACACCAGAGGTCAAATCGCATCATGCAATGAATGATTGACCTGGAGGAGGTCTAGCAAATGTGAAATGTGACCTGTCTGTTTATCACCTTATTCGCACACCTTTTATGATGTGGAAGTCAACGGCCATTTAGGAATCTGGTGAGGACTGTGGCTTGAAGTGGCCTAAATCGTGCATCACTTGGGTAAGTTGAAGGTAGTCTTCAATCCAAATTAGATAAGACGGCCTCGTACTCTAAACCATTGTGAAGAAGAGACCGATTAAAGAATATTGGCTAAAAAAAGAATGGGCGAAGAGAAAGCACTGAAAGTTACTCTTGATGGATTGGAGCCCAAAACATTCTGCAATGTGCCTGTGAAGACTACCTCCAATCAACCCCAAAGTGCTTTTAACTGGATCAATTTTAACACTGCCCTCTGCTAATTTAGAAGGTGTGATGATGGCAATGTGTTACAACATCTCAAAGAACAACGTGTGTACTTACATGGGGAAGGGGAAAGCGTCATCACAACTAACTCTTCTGCCTTAACCTCGATAATCTCTGGGTCCGTGTTTGCTAGCTTAAACTCTCACGTAAGTCAGTGCAAATTAGCTGCAGTTTCAGCTACATCCAAATTCAAGGCCCATAACTTGCATTAGCCATGTCGGACATTTTCCATTTAAGGCTTACATGCTACAGACAACGCACCACTATCATTCAATCGTGTTTCATCAACATTAGTGCAACTTCTAAGAATGGACAACTCATGAATGATGAGTAAAGGACTTTGTTATGTTTACTTC